TGAACTAAGATGAGCCAGGGAAACATGTCTGAAACTGTAGTTTATTATTCTTACAAGAGACACGGTCCATCTTTTTAAGGACATTGACTTTGCAAGACAGATACATTTGATTTCCAGGAACATGACTTTATTCTAAGCCACTTTAAGTTCTTTTGTTTTTTTCTTATTGTTGGGCTTATAAAGCCCATCTCTACTTCCATTTAATGCCCTCAGCATCTATGCACAAGGTCAAATTATTGATGAAATGAGTCTCTTCTAGTAACCTTTCTCATTTGGCTCTGAGAAAGATTCCCCTTCTACCAAAGGCTAAGTGATTAAATACATGCTGCCCTCTTCTACTCTTATCTAAGGTATATTTTTAAGAAACAAATCAAATTTAATGCGTTATAATTGCTTTTTTTAAGTGGGAAGATGATGGTTTTACTTGGAAGAACAGAAGAAAATTTTAACATTTTTCTTGTACAATGTACTATAATTAAAAATTAGTCTGGCTTTTCTGTAGCACGTGCAGCACTATAACAAATGAAATAGTTTAGATAGTCTGCCCTGCACTAATGCCATTAAGGCTAATCATTTGGAATTTTTGATAACAGAAATTCATAGTTATTTTCACTTGTATGAAATGGCCTTCTGTGTGAAGTTGGTATGGTTAAATTTAAATTGAATGATGTGGCTTGAATAGAGAATTGGCTTTCAATGAACATTTCTAAATTAAGCTCAATCACCATTATGTATTCCTATTTTTAGAGTAAACATCCACTTTATTTATGCAAACTTGACATTAGGTACCCATTTGTGTTTCTGACTGTATTAGGTACTATATTAGGAAGAAAGCTTAATGATGAAATTAAGTATATTTAACTTTTCATTTTAAATAGTAATATTCTGTATTAACTAATATTTGAGGATCTCTGACTACATCAAAAAAATTTTCTTTCACTCAGCACTTATCAAATAAAGGAAAATGTGATATTTATTATCAGATTGTACCCTTCTCCAGGGTGGGGACCTTGAATCATCTTCTTTGTACCACTGTCTTAGTGGTACATAATTGGTGTTCAATAAGTTTGTTAAATTTGTCACATTAAGAAACTATGACAGTTTGTATTATAATTTCTAATCATAACCAGATGGCCTTGATAACGAGACTTCAGTAAATCATTCACCAGCTAAATAAATCAATCCCTGCTGTTCTTTACCCTAGAA